CAAGCTCAAATAGTTCAATTTTACCAATATAAATGTCAAAAATAACTCAGGTTTTTGACCTGTCTGGATGTTTAAATTATGTCCATTCACATGTCATATTACATACTAAGTCCATACCAACAGTAGTTCAGAGACCAGTTCTCACAATTAACTAGTTGCTTATTAGCATTACTAGCATATTTGCTGTTTATTTGTAGTTATAAAGCACATATTAATCTACATGACCTCCCGTAATCCTACCTAAACTTAACAACTACCTTACTAACTATTTATAAACAGGAAATTAGGTATTTATTGAGTCAGAAATCATAGTTAATAGTGAGAATTGGTCCCCAATCTAAAGTGTGACCATACTAAACCTGTTGGCATGTGGAATCTTCCCATTTTATAGCGATAAATCAAAGCTGACGGCTGGTGAAGTGTAAGATCAGAGCTCTGACCTATGAGGTCATCAGTGTGCACAGCTGGTTGCAGGGAGATAATAGGTGCAGAGAACCAATCAGACATCAACTGATTAAGAGTAATAGAAGTGTCTTGAGCTGAGCCAGGGAGGAAAGGTCAACGGATAATACAAACACACAAACAATTACAAACCAGAATTAAATGCAATTGTTTCCTCCTCATTTTATTTCAAATAAATGCCACTCTTTTGAGCATTGTATTTATTATAGCATTTTTTAAATGAATGAAAAATGTTAGTAATCATGCACGCATTCAACTGATCAAAATAGACAGTAAAAACATTTATAGTGCTACAAAAGATTTATATTTCAAATAAATGCTGCTTCTGTTGTATTCATCAAATAACCCTGGGGAATATACATACATATTGAGCATATAAGAATGATTGCTGAAGGTTCATATGACACTGAAGATGAAAATATTACTTTTGTAATTTATTATATTTATACACAGCAAAATCCCCAGAGTTAAATCAACTCTGCTCAGAGTACATATTGTCCCAATCTACAGAGTGTTAAAGTAACACTGAAGCCGAGTTACCACTGTTGAGGATTATGTGATACGTTTTCATGTCTAAAAGCATGAGCAGTAGTTGTTCATCTTCAACATTGTTAACAGCGGGTTTTCTTTATTAATGCTCGCTCATCAATTAAATAATTGCTTAATTATCCCATTAACTTTAACTCGGCTTCAGTGTTACTTTAACACTATGTAGATTGGGACAATATGTACTCTGAGCAGAATTGATTTAACTCTGGGGATTTTGCTGTGTAATTAATTTTAAAATTGACATAAAATTACATCAAAATATTAAAATAGAAAACAGTTATTTTAAATTGTCTTGGTTGGCATAAGAGACGTCTTTCAAAAACTAGAATTAAAAAAACACTATTCAATTAAAACTTTTTTTTTTATTTACATCATGTCATTTTAACGTTTTAATGGTGTCAACTAATGACTAGTTTAGCGTAGGTGAACAGTGTAATGTAAATACAAGCTATGCAAAGCTGTGGACCTAATATCCTATTACTTTAATAACATTACCACTTGTTATAATTGATATTGCATTACATATTTTAATATTTTCACTTCTAGTTTCTCAACAACCTTGTTTCTACTTACCTGCCACTCTATCTAATATCACCACATGAAACTTTCTTTCTTTGTTATTGTCTTCAGCCTTTTGGTCTCTTAGCAACATGAATCATTTCCTTTGAGGCTATAGAGTGAAGTTGTCTAGTTGCAAAATGTATTTGATTTACAATTTGGATTTCTCTCTTTCAACTTGCATTTCAGTGCACATGTAAATGTTGTTATTTTTGTTTCTGTTTATTCAGGGTGTTAAACTGAAACAAAACTTTTCAGAACAGCCTTTGCAGACAAGGAATGACTTTGGAGTTGAAATGAACATATAAGTGACACACACACACACACACACACACACACACACACACACACACACACACACACACACACACACCCACA